ATAATAATGATAGTACTACTACTACTACTACTATTACTACAATACTACTACTATTACTACTACTACTACTACTACTACTACTATACTACTACAACTACTACTACATTAATACATATACTAATACTAATAAAATACTGCTACTATTAATACTATTGAATATTATCAAATATAATAATTGTACTAACAAAAATTAATAATAAATATTTATCATAAAACAATACAAATATTACTATCATTACTACTACTACTACTACTACTACTACTGCTATTACTACTACTGCTACAAACAATGATGAAAATAATAATAACATTAATAAAATAATAGTGGTGATTATGATGGTAACTTTAATAACGATAATAATAGAAATAATAATGGAAATGCTGACAATTATCATTATAATAATAATTCTAGAAATGTACTGAAATATAGAACAGATTTCCTCAGAGAAAAGAGGGAGGGGACAGTGGAGGAGGAAGGGGAGGGGACAGTGGAGAAGGGGGAAAGTGGGGAAGGAGGGAACTTGGGGAGACTGTAGGAGGAGACAGAGGAAGAAGAATGGGAAGAAGATAAAAAAGAATGCAAAAAAAAAGAGAAAGAGGAAGTGAAGGAGGCAGAGGAGGAAAAGGAAGAAGATAATAATGGAGAAGAAAATGAAGAAGAAGGGAAGGAGGTGAAGGAAGCTGATTAGGAGGAGGAGGAGGAGGAGGAGAGGAGAGGAGAGGAGGAGGAGGAGGAGGAGGAGGAGGAGGAGGAAGAGAAAAAGCAGGAGGAGGAATAGGAGAAAGAGGAGGAAAAGGAGAAAGAGGAGAAAGAGGAAGAGGAGGAGGAAGTGGAGGAAGAGGAAGAAGAGGATGATAATGAGGAAGAGGAAAAGAAGAATATGGAACAGTAGAAGATAATGAAATGGGAAAGGAAATAGAAGAAAAAATATATATGAAGAAGATAATATAATTTTTAAGAGTTTATACATTTAAATATGACATTTTTAACCAACACATTTTATTTGGTAGGAAGTGATATTTACTAATCACTAATTAGTAAATTTCATGAATATCAAGGAACCTTCAAAATATTCCGAAGTTCTTGGCCATCTTCCCAGTCTGTACGCATGATAAGCTTGAGCTGCCAGTTATTCTCCTTGATTCGGTGCACGAGGGATTGCAAGTCCTGATTAGAGAGCCCGTGCCAGAAGGCAAGAGGGCCTAGGTAGCATAGGTCGGAGCAGTGCAAGAGTAGACAGTCTATCCCCTTCAAACCAATGGCACACTCATTGATCTTTAGCTTGTGCAATTTTCTAAGGCCATCTTCAATCACTGCATAGATGATTAGGTCATCATTGATGCTCTCAAAAGTCTCTTGGTATGGTTCTCTACGATGTCCAGTTCTCTCAATTCAGGTGCATTGGTCAAAAGAGCTAGGAGGACCTTGGATGCCCCCAATGTTACTCGTGCAAACTTTAGGTATGGCCACTTTGTCACTTCTGTTCCTTCCTGCAAGTCTACAGAAGATTCTAAATGCTCTAAGTTGGGGGTGAGTTCCACCAGCCATGACAAATCAAGGTAACTATTGATGTGATCTACAAGTATGAGCTTCTTCAAGTTCTCTCCACTTCCGAGAAGATAGTTGTATATCTGATTCACAAAATTACGGTAGTAAAGGCTGAGAGTGAGGGATGAGATGGAGCTGAGAATATGAAGGCAGTCAAGAGAGGAAGCATCGGTGTTAAGGCAAGTGAGGTGAGGACACACCATGCTCATAAGGGATGCATGGTGTGGCAGGATCCTTGCATCCCACAACTCTTGTAGCTGGAAAGTCATGTGACCTTCCTTTGGCTGCAATACTTCCATGACACTGCTGACAGGACCTGCATGAATGTCTCCCCCAAATGATTGAAGATTGGGGACATAATGCAAAAGAATGACAGCACTGACTAGACTCACATTAGTCTCACTCAAACAAACATGCTTTAAGATCTTGGCACAAGGTTGTGTTGGAATATCCTGTAGGCTTAGCTTCTGCAGATTTCTGCCCTCTACAGATAAGGGATCTTTCAGCAGAAGGTTTGCTACAGACTCATCATCAACCTTATAAGACCCAGTGACATCTAAATACTCAAGATAAGGACAATTTGTCCCCATCATTCCAAGAAGAACTGTGTCAGCAACCCCCTTCAGAATTACCCATCGCAAATTCTTCATCTGACTAAAGACTCGATAGAAAGTGTGATTAATATCTGCTAAATACTTTTTGTCTGACTCTGTCTTCAGGTCGCACATCACACCAATCTTAGTCAGATTGATCATCAAACCAATGGTCAGTGTGCGGTAGAAGTGCCATACCTCATCTACAAAGCCATAACCTCCTTTTGTGAAGTCAATTATTTGAGTACTACGGTCTCCCAACAGCTCCAGTATAAAGCATTTGCTTGCTAGATCCCACTTGTACATGTGTTGTTGGAAAATGATGTTGAGAAGCCTTTGTCTGATATTGGAATTGAGGTGTACTGTTATGTATTCCCGCTGTTTCAGGCGCTCCTTTGGGTTTCCCAGCCGCTTCACATTCCTAGCGAGCCACTGTAATACCCATTCAATACAAATGTTGGTCAGAGAAAGAAATGGCTTGTAAGGTGGCATTATTTCTGGTAGATTTCCGCAGAGGTAAAAAAATCAAGCACTTCAGAAAAGAGAGAGAATGCATATACTATAGTATGTCACAGCCCCACTTGTCTTGTCCTTCATTCACAAGAATTGGATATGGTGACGTGTCTGCAAGTAAAAGAGAACTTGCTGTAGCCTTTTTCTTTCACTACATTCGAAGCTCATGCATGATTATTTCTTGCTATTTTCAGTATAGTTGAAGAGTGTACAAGTGTACAAAGCATCACATCATTACTGCTTTTCAACACATATTTCTATTGATGTAAAAATCTGACAAACAAACTCCCACTCAATATCTGCTCTTCTAGCAAAAAATGTACAGGAAGTAAATCCTGCTCTATTATATAAACATGCAAAAAAACAAAACAAAAACAACACTAACCACAGAGCCACAGTTAGAGTGGCCAAGAAATACAAACAGGAAAAACAAAAACCAAAGAAGACACAGGAAACAGTAGTAATTCATACAATACGATGAGAATGATTCTGATGATAGCTAACATAAATGATATGACGTATTTCATATTTTCAATAACAGTATTTACATCCTTTATCTTTGACTGTGAGTGTTGCAAAAATGAACATATCCCATTACATCTTTTCAATATATCTGAACCATCAAGGAACTTTAGAAGCTTCTTGGAGTTCCTTGCCATCTTCCCAGTCTGTACGCATGATAAGCTTGAGCTGCCAGTTATTCTCCTTGATTCGCTGCATGAGGGAATGCAAGTCCTGATTATAGAGCCCATGCCAGAAGGCAAGAGGAGCTAGGTAGCACAGGTCGGGGCAGTGCAAGAGTAGACAGTCTATTCCCTTCAAGCCAATGGCACACTCACTGATCTTTAGCTTTTGTATTTTTTTAAGGCCATCTTCAATTACTGCACAGATGATCAGGTCATCATTGATGCACTCAAAGGTCTCTTGGTATGGTGCTCTTACAAAGGTAATGTCTAGGTCTCTTACTTCAGTTGCATTAGTTAGAAAAGCTAACAGTACTCTAGAGGATTCCATAGTCAGTCGAGCAGTCTTTAGGGATGGCCACTTGAGTACCTCCAGTTCCTCCTCAAGGCCCACAGTAGCTTCCAGATGCTCTAAATTTGGGGTGAGTTCTGTCAACCATGAGAGATCTAGATAGCAGTTAATGTGGTCAACAAGAATGAGCTCCTTAAGCTTTTCTCCATTTTCTAGAAGGTAGTCATATATGTCATTCTCAAAGTTTTGGTAATAAAGGCTGAGAGTGAGGGATGTGATGGAGCTAAGATCTTCCAGTGAACCAAGGGAAGAAGCATCAGTGCCAAGGCGGGTGAGCTGAGGACACACCACCTTCAGAAGAGAGGCTTGTTGCGGTAGGATCCTTGCATCCCACAGCTCTTGCAATTTGAATGACTTGTGACCTTCCTTAAGATGCAAGTCATTTATGACATTGCACAGGGAACCTGCATGAATGTCTCCTCCAAATGATTCAAGGTTGGGGACAAAATGCAAGAGAATTCCAACACTCGCTAAAGTTACATTGGTCTCACTTACACATATCATCTTTAAGCTGTTTGCACAAAGATTTGTTGGGATATGCTGGACACCAACTTGTACAGACCTCTGGCTCTCTGCTGATGATGTGTCTCTGACTATTAAGTTTGCTATTGCTTCATCATCTATTCTAGGAGACTGAGCAACATTAAGATGCTCAAGATGAGGGCAATTTATCCCCAAGGTTAAGAGGAAAGTCTTGTTAGCAACCCCCTTGAGCGTCACCCAACGTAGATTCTTCATCTGATTGAAAGCTCCATAAAATGTGTTGTTGATGTCTGGTAGATACTTTTTATCTGATTCTGTTCTGATCTTACAAACTATGCCTAACCTTGTCAGGTTGATTATCTTGGTAACATTGAGGCTTCGGTAGAACTGCCACACCTCATCTACATATGCATAGCCTCCCTCAGTGAAGTCAATACACTGAGTGCTGGTGTCTCCCAGAACCTCAAGCATTAAGCATTTGAAGGAGAGGCTCCATTTATACATATGTTTTTGAAAAGTAATGTTGATAAGTCTCTGCCTGATGTTGGAAGTGAGATGCGTTGTGACGTACTCCCTTTGTTGCAGGCGCTCCTTTAGGGATCCTTGTACATTCAGATGAGTACAGAGCCAGGCTAAAACCCATTCAATACACGTATCGGTCAGTGATAGAATAGGCTTGTGTGGTGGCATGATTACTGAGTTATTGCTCCAACTTCAAAAGAAAGAGAGCATGGAATTTTTTTGGGGGAAAAGTATGTATTACAACACTGCCTTATCTCTCAAATGACATGGACTGATGATTCTGCAAGTAAAAGAGAGCTTTCTGTAGTTTCCTAATACACTTCGAACTATACATTACTGTTCATTCTAATGACAAAAAGTTCCATATTAAGACACTTATTTTGACTAAAATTCTAAAAAGTACATTATCTACAATAAGTGAAAAACACTTCCATCTTTAAAATATTCTTGTAAAGTATTATATGTATGATATATCATAGACTAAACTCAAAATCCATAGTCACACCATTCACTGAATTTATGATCTACTGTGCAAGAAGTAAAAAATGAAAATTATTCAACTGCTTCTTTATTCAACCAATTCATCTCCTGTAATTGATTCATTATAATCACACACCTCTAAATATTAGCTTTCAGAGCTGACACTTGCAGTTTTTTACGTGCTCTGGCAAAGCAAACATACAATTATCCACATCTCTCTCAAGTCAAGTTAATCCACAAGCTCAAACATGCCTTGTACGACTCAGCTTTAAGATTATAGGCACTCATAAAAGAAAGAAAGAGAAAGAGAGCAAAATATATAAAATTTCAGTTTGAAACTGCTAGAAGCCATATGCATTAGGAAATATTGAAAGAATTTAACACCAGTGTCTGTATAATTTGCTATACCTTGTTTCTACACATTTTTCATATTATTATAAATAAGTTTGTTAATGTGAAATTACATTTTATGCATATGTGTTAATAAGCATATACTTTTCTGTATGCACTGCTGACCTTTTAAATACATTCTTACATTATATATATGATAAAGCTAAATGATTATGAGTTATGCATTGTTATTAAAAACTCCCTACACACATGAAAACAAAAGACCTGCCACATTTTTTCAATACATAATACCAGAAAAAGAAAAAGTTAGTGAAAGCAGATTTTTACCAAGTGATTTTAGTTATATGGACACCACCATGTTAGTCTATGCTAGTCTTAGGAAAGCTAATCAAGATTAATACAAGGAAACAATTTGTGAAGCATTAAAAGATTTGAAAAAAAGAAAAAAAAATCAGAGCAATCTTACCTCTTCTTGAGGTTCAAAGCAATCCATGGCACGAATCGGTACTTGTACGACTGCCAAATGGATGACAGCTTTTTGAACATAACTCTTGCCTTAAGGTCACATAGGCTTGTACTATGTGCTATTTTTAAACATGTCTGAAACAAAATAGATGTATCAATACATATATGCTGACCCAGGCATCTCCCCTAATGTATATACACATTCATACATCAAATATTATTTTTGTGATGGATAATAGGCTTTCTTTAATATTTCTCTCCTGGTAATTATAAGAAACTAAAGCCCCTCTACATCAAAATAACATAATTTCATATATTACCTTCATACATTATACTACTTATAAGTATGCTTATAATTCATTTATAAATGCTACTCAGTACTACACTCTATCTGCCACTCTGAAATAAATGTAAACCAATACTTAAACTATGTAAGATTTGTTAAAATCTCAAACATACAACAAAATGTATAAGTTCATGCATGTGATAAAATCTTATTTTGCATGTGACAACCCTATCAATGACATGTTTAGGGGAACTGTGTAATTGTTAGAATTATAATTATTATTATATTTTTTTAGTGTGGGATGGATGTGCAAGTTGTAGGTGTGCTTGATATCTACCTAATGTAGAAAGATTAGCTATAACAAATGCAAAATACTTGTTTATCATAAAATTGTTGTACACACCATGTGCACAAAAACTGTATATGCATCTGGACCTATCACCACTATGACAAAGGGCAAATATATTCCTTGTACATTCTGGTAGGATATAGCTTAGACTGATTTCTTTTTTGAAAATAATTTCCAGGGTGCTTCATTAATATACATACTGTATTCCAATTAGTTGAGTTTCCAGTAGCAGTATTGTTTTCTCTGCTTTGTCACAAGAAACTACCATACTGTGACAATAAATAAAATGAAGCCACCCTAACGTACAATTAACAATTGGATGTTAAGATAGTTTGGATTGTTGTGAAAAGGTCATGCTGGTCTATGTATTATTTAACTGAATGACATGCATTGTCAGTCATATCATTGCAAAAGTGTGAAATGAAATACAAAATATTTTATTGTTGTACGTTACTACTGTTGTGGAGCTTCACTTAATACGTTTCACTTTACTCTGTCTGTGTTTATCATCTCTGTTTAGCTGAATGAATAAGCAAATAATGTCAAATAACAATAATGCTTAATAATAAAAAATAATGAAAAGAGAATTAATGAAATAAATCCAGAGAGGAAGTGAGAACATGAAGGCAACCACAACTTCAACTATCATGTGAAGAACATGGCCCTTAACTCAAACAATCAAAAGACTAAGTTTACTCCATACACCTACCCTACCTGAGCTACCTTGGATTGGAAATACACTCTGTATTTGACTATTCTTTAAGATAATTACTGTTTTGCTGGTTGTACATTTCTGACTGCATCTGGGTGAGCATTTTCTTGGGAAAATATTTTAAAATAGTTGTAACTAGCTGCAACTTTAAATGAATAAATAAATAAATGAATAGAAAAATACTCTACCGTGTTGATACTATGGTAGAAAAACCCACAATGCACAAACTAGATTTATTGAAGAAAGTGAGACAACAGTTTCGTAATCATCCTCGATTCCATCTCTGGGTCTGAAAAAGTAAATGGATATATGCATATATATACACACACACACACATTAACACACACACAACACACACACACACACCACACACACACACACACACACACACACACACACACACACACACACACACACACACACACACACACACACATATATATATATATATATATATATATATATATATATATATATATATAATAAAGGTCAGCAAGGTATTTAATGGTAGAAGAATGTATCAAGAGGCTACAACAGGCAAGAAAATTTGGTCAACACTACCATTGGGTATCAAAATCTCCCACAGTAAAAATAGCATAGTGCTAAAGCTACCTTCAACCTACGCAAAGTTCTGTAAGGGGTTTTGTCAGTTGGTGTTTTTTCTGCACAAGGTATTCTGATCAGTGGGTTGGGGTATTGGAAACCTCTGGAAACTCCTGTTTAAGGAATGTTAGTAATATAAAGTGGGCAAATGGTGAATGACAAGTAGTCTCAGCCTACACATTTTATAGATCACCACTTCTTCCTGTGTGCTAAGAATAATTGGGGCCCTGATCACCTGTGGAACCAAGAGAGAGGGGGTCAAACTCTTAAAATACTAGAGCAGTACTCAGCTGCCATTGCCCAATGAGCCAAGAAATATGAGTGCTGCTGTAGTCATAATGATGTCAATGACATGCCTTCACAATATCACATATAAGTACAAAACATATGCAAGACTCCCTTTTTTAAAATGATATTTGTAACTAATAAAAATGCTAGACATCAGGGCCATATAGAACTAGCTCACTTTTAAAGAAAATTAACAGTAATTACTCAGGCTAACATCCAACCATACAACCTTGCTATTATTAATTAATTTTTGTTTCAATTATTCATGGTATAATATTTGTGAAACTATTCTAAACTAATAAATGAAAGTATTGCTAATTATTTGCAAAGTGACCCCACCCCTCTAAGTCCTTATCACACTAAATAATGACTTTGAGGGCACTCATGGCAATCCAAAATCATCACTGTATGTACCATAATCCTTCCTAAACTAGGGCATTTGCCCCCAGACCTCCATTAAATTGCTGCATTTCCTTACTGGGGCCTCTGCCCCTGGATGCCCACCAAATTACCGCAGACCTATTCTCCACTCAGTTTTTTCCTTCTCTTCATGACAATGTCATTAGATTTACCCTATCTTGGTGCAGCCATTACATAAATGTATACCCCATCCTTTTGTCATTCTTCCTATTAAAGGCAAATTTTTCTTTGTATCATAAGGCTGTGTGAAACTAAAACGATACCAATAAAGCTATATACCCAATTTACTTCTTCCTTTGGCAAATTAAGCTAATGACAGAGAGAAAAAATACTGGCAAAAAGATCCTCTACTAGATTGTGAACTGGAAATTTTACTTAAACAAGTGCATCGAGAGGATTACCCATTCAATTCAACACCGGTCCATGCAATTACTTGATAAATAACACTACCGTACACTATAAAGTAATTGAGTAAACGAATTATTTCAATGCTTAATACTACGGACTTAATTTTGAATGCCCATGCAATATTCTACACATGCATACGTCGTTTCCACATCTATAAATAATAACATAATAAGTCTTTTTACCTGTAACTGATCTTCACATTCAACTAGCCTGCCAAGTGCCCGGAATCAGTGCCTGAGATTGACCAATATAGCATCTGTGAAGCACAGTCGGAGCACGTGCCAAAGTGGGCGGAGCTATGTGTATTTGTTTACATCGATCAGCTGTTTTCCATGTTTTTTCCGAAGAAATGATTGTTAATTTATTATCCTGAACTTGTGGCATGAATTATCCATATCCTCATATGATAAAAAATTCTCTGTTAATACTTGGCGATGTTTTATTCATTTTGATATTATTATCAGAAGCTGTATAACATTAATTGCAACTTTTCGTTTCCTGTATATTGTAGTGCAAATAATTACAATATTTTAGAAAGTACTACTGTACGATTGTTATTACCATTTTTATCAGTTAGTCGATTCATTATGAATACTACAATTACATGTCTACAGTATCATATCAATTACATTTCATCACTGGAGTTGTTAACACTTATTAATATATTGTCATTACGAATGTTATGAACGCCATTATATTATATATATATATATATATATATATATATATATATATATATATATATATATATAATATATATATATCGGTTGCCATAATATTTTACTCTGATGCAGCGGTCTCCAAGCCCTTTCATCTTCCATGGAAATTTTGCAACCATAATGATGTCTCACGGAACCCTGACATACGAAAATATTTTACAATCTTAATTTTCTATTTCTCCTTCACAAATCAAATTCATATTTCTTTTCTGACAACTCTATTGGGTATAACAATTCGTCGTTGAGACTGTTGGGAGTTTTAGGGGGAGATAGTCATAGCATCCCTGTATGGACAAGAAATAATCTTTATTTTGCAGGGAAGGACAAATATAAATAAGATCTTGTCACTTGAGGTATCTACGCTAGTTTCAGCGATAAGGCCTTAGCCATCAGTCTGGTTTTAGGCTGAAGATCCGGGGAATAGAAAATAATAGGGTGGGAGAGAAAATAGGAAGTGGTAGCTAAATTACATGGGCAGATGTGGAGACAATTTTCCCATAATATTAAAAAACGTGCATATATAAACAATCTGGGCTTGAAAATATCTGATAAATGCATTTACACATTGTGCAAAGGCAGATTAATCTGTCTCTTTATAACAATCTATTAATGAAGAGAAAAAATGGTAAGTTATAAAGGTATCCCGGGAAATCCCATTTGACAATGATGTTTTAAATATGTAACACACTTTTTGAAGAAACAGAAACCGACTTTATTTGCTTAGAATTGCATAGGGATGACGAAAACTACACTTGTGTTGGGCATTACATTGACCTTGGGGGAAATCATTCTCAAAACGTCAAGATTATGCATTCAATTTATTAGCGATACAATAACAATGGTAAAAATCATTATTACACTAAGGAATGATAGCTTTACTTTGTGACATCAATAAGCTTAATTATCTAAGTCGTGAAACGTCCAAAGAGGTTTATCGAAATCTCTTTCCCTTTTTCCTTGTTCTTAGCGTGTTCACTACCTCCCTGTAAGGTCTTCCGGCGCCTTCCCAAATCCCTCCTGCTGAATTTCCAGCCTGGCCTCGGGGGAAATGAAGATTCCCCAGCGCTCGTAGTGGAGGATCAGGTCGGCTCCCACTTCGCGGCTCAGGATTTTGTACACGTAGTCCAACTTGCGCTGCTCGCTCGCTGCCAGTTGGTCGGCCTGCTCGGGCGAGAGAGCCCGGACCGACCGGTTCAGATTCCGGAACATGTCCCAGCCCGGGTAGGGGAAAGCATTCTTGATTTCCATCAGAAACACGAGCTTTTGCCAACAGTCAGCTGCTTCGAAGGTCAAGCCTTTGTCTACTGCGAAGGCGGTTTCCATGTACCTGTTTTCTCGCTGCAATCGGTTCCCTATCCCGATTTGCTCTTCAATGTAACAGGAAAACAGGTTGACTGTCGACTCCGAGCCATATGTGTAAGACCACCATTCCCCCTGCTGGTAGTTATGCCCCAACTCGTGCCACGAAACCCAGTCGTGCGGGGTACCCAGGGAAGTCAGGTCGTAATATTGGCGGTCGAACATGGCGGGGAAGCCGGCATGGGCGCTTCCGCAGGAGATCTGCACATCGTCCACTATCCACTGCTTCCCCCGGGGAGGCGGGTCGCCGGCAGTGAATCCTGAGAGGGATTCTAACATCCCAATGACGTCATCGTATCGACGCAGCAGTCTTTTGGGATCCGAGAGTTTCCACGCCGCCTTAGTAGGGGCTACAACTACCACCTTGTCGCCCACCAGCACGCAGTAGGGAGCATCCAGCTCCTTCATCTTTGCCCACTGGGAGGTGGTGGTTTGGCCCATGACGTAGAAGGGGGCTTCAACCACATTGCGGACCTCCGCAATGGTGGTAAAATTCTCACCTTCTTCGTATGTAAATATGAGACTCCCTCCGAACTGGCTGCGCAAGGTATTCACGCCTGGCTTCAGTTCGAACTCCTCCGACACGACGGGACACCTCATGAACTTCCGTTGGTCGACGACGTTGCCAGATTCCGGACCCAGGACGTCGCGCTGGGCCCCCACGCGGGCGGTGATCTGGTCCGCCCGTGCCTCCGACAGAGTCTCCGGCAGCACGATCTGAAAGACCTCGCCTGCTGGCACATAGGCGTCCGTGGGCTGCCAGTCCTCGGGCGCTGTCATGCGAAGGTTGCTGGCTTGCCCGAGGACTGTGAGGTCGAGGGTGAAGCTGCGGCTGCATCTTGGGGTAGTCTTTGCCACAGAACCAGGGAAGGTGTCGACGTCCACCGCATGTGGCAATGGCAGAGACACATTGCTCAGCTTATTCACAAGAATCCTGGCCATTTCCTGTTTGTATGTGTCAACATCTGTGCATGCGAGAGGATACTTCACGCATCGAGTGGCTGCTATAAGAGACGAAAGTCTCCACCACTTCTGGTTCTGACCGCCGTGGGCCGGATACAGGATGACCTTGGTCCGGGGCTCCTCCCAGGGCACGTCCAGGGCGCGGGACTCGGTGCCGAAGATGCCCTCCTCGTTGAGGGTCCAGAAAGCCGAGCTCTTCTCGGAGGGGGCGAGGCACAGGCCTTGGCGCCCTTCGTCGGGAGACAGGCACAAGGAGCGGTTTTCTGCCCACTGCCACTGGCCGCCCTGCACGAACCACTGCTGTCTGCCGCTACCCGTGTACTCGGCCAGGCCGACGACGGCGTCGCGAGGATCCGAGCCGCTGAGGACCGTCAGGCAGGTGTTGGTGCTTTGGTGTCAGGTATTCTGGAACACCGCCTGTAAAAAAGGTTAATGTTTCTTTTCTTGTTATTTCTCACAGAAGCTAATCAGGAACAGCTAAAGACAACGGCAAATCCAATGATATCCTCTCAGGCGACCTACCTTTGGCCTTCCCGCACCGCTGGCACGTCGGGGCAGACATCTGGCCGTACTCAGCCTGGCACTCCTTGTGGCAGATCTCGAGGACGCGCGTAGGCACGCAGTCCATCCTCACACAGGCGGTTCCTCCGAGAGATGCCTTTAAGCCCGAGAGAGTCCACCATTTCTGATTGGCGCCGTCGTGTTTGGGGTACAGGATGACGGCGGTTCGAGGCTTGCCCCAGGGAACATCCAGCCCGCGGGACTCCGTCAAGATCCTGCCCTCGGAGTCGTGTGTCCAGACGGTGGATGACCTCGCACTCTCCCCGAGAACGACCTTCTTGTGATCGGAATCGACGTCCAGACAGAACTGGCGGTTGCCTGCCCACTGCCACTGCCCGCGGTGGAAGAACCACTGCTGCTTGACGTTGCCGGAGCACTTGGCCATGGCAATGACGGCATCGCGAGGGCTGGAGCCCCGCACCACCGTCAGGCAAGTGTGGCTACTTTGGTTCACGAGGTAATCGGGTTCATCGGCGTCCATGACGGTGCTTGAGCTCTGGGCGTGACTCCGCTCTCTGTCGGGTGAGCTGCACGTCGCCTCGCCGACGAAGTGCAGCAAATACGAAATTACTACCGGATATTACGTATATACATATAAATGAAGAGAAATCATGAGACACAAGGAGAAAAAAGCGTTTTTTAGAGCTATCTTAAAAATAGTAGAAACTACAGAAAAAGAGGACTGCATAAACTAAATATACGTACATAAATACAAACGCGCAGGTTTACACACACACACACATATCTATAAGCACATTATAAATATGCCCGGAGACACACACACGTGTAGCTACAGGTGTCACATAACCCACAGGCTACGCGCTGTAGCCTGAATGACGAGACCACCTCATAGTGCTACACGAGATTTGTTTACGTTCGATCTGGCTGCAGATTATGTAGGACAGCGGTGCTAGGCTGTTTTTTATGCTGCGTCTGAGCTCCTCTGTATCACCCATTATCCTTCGGGTGATATCTTATCTGCGCAAGTGGGGAGGGAGGCTACTGCACTCTTGGTGGGAGAGGCTGTAAACAAGGGACTAGTTTGAAGGCACCTGAAATGCTTCTCATTGCTTCATCCCGTCTCGTTTATTTATTTTACCTGTGTGTTCACTACGCAGCTATAGTGAGCCACAGTAGTCCGGTTCGGTGTTGGGTCTGCTTTGTGGCTCTCTAAATCGGGCCGGATATTCTACGTTGAGCTCTTTTTAATATATATATATTTTTAATTTTCACCTCTGTTTTCGTCAGTCGGGGTTCGAGTGTTTAAGAGAGAGAGAGAGAGAGAGAGAGAGAGAGAGAGAGAGAGAGAGGAGAGAGAGAGAGAGAGAGAGAGAGAGAGAGAGAGAGAGAGAGAGAGAGAGAGAGAAGAGAGAGAGAGAGAGAAGGGGGGAAGGGGGAGAGGGAAGAGGGGAGAGGAGGGGGAGGGACGGAGAACAGACACATAGAGAAATAAGTGAAAGAAGAGAGAAAGAGAAAGAGAGAGAAGAGAGAGAGAGAGAGAGAGAGAGAGAGAGAGAGAGAGAGAGAGAGAGAGAGAGAGAGAGAGAGAGAGAGAGAGAGAGAGAGAGAGAGAAACGCGCGCGCGCATGTGTGTATATATGTTTATGTGTGTGTTCTGCCTGTCCACGCGTGCGAGTGTGCACCACCGTTAAAATATAAAAATACAGATAAATACATGAACAAATGCAGCTTCCACTTAAAAAAAAAACGGTACCTACTGCTTGCTACACTACTTCCGTGAGTCATGACCTCCGCCCTCTGCCTTTGCACCGCGCACAGAAATAAAGAACTTAATGAGTTACTGAGTCATTACCTGTTATTTGAGTTTTGTTTGTCCACTCATTGAGACCGGATAAATGCAGGAAGGTTTTGCAACGAATGCTGTATAGAGATCAGGTCACAGCGGAGAAAGTTCACTCTAACGGGGTTTTGTAAGTTTCACCGAGATTGGGAAATATAAACAAGGGCAATCAGTGCTTGAATATCTATCATGTACAAACTGCATTTGAATATTGCTTGTCTGTGCTTTTTCCATTAAATATTATACCTGTTTTCTCTTTCAAACAAAACCTATCCCACAAAAAAAAAATAATAAAAATCCGAACATCGATATTCCACTTATCCGAATCTGCAGAAGACATTCACGAAAACACTCTGACACGATTCAAAGCGTGTATAATCACATAGATATCACTATATGGATGAGAATATGAAGGATAGACAGGAAGCAGATCTCTCACCTCTTGACGCCTCTCCTCCTCTTGAGCGAGTGAATGTGGCCTCTGTTAAAGGATGTGTTGCCATGGCCGGTAGGATGGGAAAAGCGCTAACTTACTAGCGA